AAAAAAAAAGGAGCGATAGTAATAAAAATAAGATAAATTTTCATCCTTTCAGCCAACTCCATTTTACACTTAGATCTGGAGAAGTAAAGAAAAATGCCAGAGATGGGGCACAATAGAGACGTGAACCTAGATATTTCTGATTCTAAAGCCTGGTTATTAACTACTGCTTTATATTTGAAAGCAGACAATCTGTATTTATTTATATGTGGTTGCAGTTTTAAATTTTCTAATTATATTCTAGCAACCATATTTACATGTCCATCAGAAAAAACACCACACTGCAACATGTAGTCATAAGCTGTTCTAGGTATTTCCCATGTATTTGGCTAGAATGGACAAATGTATGCTTTTTCTCCTTGTTTTTAACTATAAAGATTAACTTGTAAAATGCTAACTAAGACCATTTTGTGGGTAATTTCTTCTTTTGAGGAACTTCACAAAATACCTACCACTTGAAAGTATTTTGTTGGTTTTTGTTCTTTAATATTTCCATGTCTGTTAATTAAAGTGATTATCTACTTATGAGTCATTATGTACTTTGATAATGGGATACATTTTAAAGCCCTGCCAAGAAAATAATTTAACGTTGTATTTTGTCTAATGGTCAAAACAAAGACTTCCCTTGGTGTAGAATTCCCTCTCTTTGTTTAGTTTGAATCATTTAGAAATTAACCAGTGTTTTTGAAAATATATAGCAGTTTAAGGCAAATTTTTTTAGCACTTCTGTCAATTTTCATAATTTATATTAAAATGACTTCTGTAATGCACTTGGTAAGTGGAGGGATCAATTAGAAGTCTTTAGGAGTTCTCACATTTATAAAATTGAGTATAAAATAAGACTTCCTTAATATATACTAAAGTGTGTGAGTATTTTCATAGTTTATACAGTCTTTCTTATATTCGTAGTGTTCTTTTAATACCACCATACTTATTGCTCCTAAGTTTTGTTTTGCTGGGTTCTGGTTTTATTTTGCTATGGAAAAGTTGAGAATTACTCCATAGAAGAGATTGGTATTAGGAAATGAGAGGAGGAGGAGGAGGAGGAGAAGAAGACGTAGAAGAAGAAGAAGGCCATTTGTATTTAGAAATTTGTTTAGAACAATATGATACATACACCAGTACAAATTTTATTAAATTTTAATTCTCACTTCTCTTATCTGTGTAGGTTAATGAACTTTCTGAGGAAGAAGAGGAAGATGAAAAGCTGGAACATATAGAGGAACTTCCAGAAGAAGGTGCAGAAAAATCAGATGACATGCCAGAGGTTGTACAATTGAGAATGACGGAAGAAATCCTAGAACCAAATGGTGTTACAGCATCAACAAGGTAGTATTTCAGTTGAATGAGCTTTAACTTTTGAGCATTTTAGTCTAGAAGTAAACTCATACCAGTAGTAATGTAATATCATAGGCATTATAATTATGAGGGGGTACACCTCCCAAACAGAATTTTTTCAATGCTGTGTATTTAAGTTATTTTACAAAACAACCTACCACCTTCAAAGTATTCTCCATTCACTTAATACATTGTCAAATATGTGATTCCATTCTTGGAAACATTGTGTGTATGGTTGACAGTACCTCCCTCGTTTGTTTTTTTAAATCATTTTATTGGGGGCTCTTACAGCTCTTAGCACAATCCATATACATCGTTTGTTTCTTTACCTCTTCTACTTTTTCAAATTGCTGTCCTTTCATGTCCCTCTTCATTTGTGGAAACAAAAAGTCTCACAGAATGAGGGCAGGTAAGGAAGGTGTATGGGACAAGAGAGGCATGCTGTTTTTTGCCAACACTGGTGCATTGAGATGGCTGCGTGAGCAGGTGCATTGCCATGGTGGCAAAACCAGTCCCGTCTCCCACGGATGGGGCCTTTTTTTGGTGGCACAGTTACACAATCTTTTCAGAATCTCTAAATAAAAAGCTTAATTAAC